TAAAGTAAATACATAGATTTTTTGCATTGCACTTATGTAAATATTTATTTATTGCACTTATTTATTATTTTTGGTAAAAAGTTTTCAAATTTATTTATTTATTTATTAAACATCTTATAAAATTTTCACAATGGTAACACCTAATTTACCTAATTTTTATTTAATTTACTCTACTCGACATACCGACATAATTTACTATTTCCCACAATTTAGCATCAATGTACTCGAACTCACACATGGCCTAATTAAAAGACCATTAAAAAAGTTCTCAAAGAGGAAATTTCTTTAAAAAATATTTTAATGTTAAAATTGATCCCTTTTTGCATGTACTGTACAGCACTAAGTCCGGCACTGTTTATTTGCTACTACTCTTTATTTAGTGTTTTTCGATTTGAAGTTGTGTCTTCTTTCAACTGTTAAAACCAGTTTTGTGAGCAAAAAGCCGGCCGGTAAAAATGTAAAATACAAAGTTTCCAATACAAATACACACACATGTGCACATAATACACATATATTTTTTCATATTAGTTTCTTCTGGATTTTATTGAAAAACTTTTTTCTTTCACTATTTGAACACATGTTCATATGTTTTTTATTTTATTTAATTTGTTTTTTTGTTTTTTTTTTTTGGTATTAGTTTGCTTTGGGTTTGCAACTCTTCTTCGTTTCACAGCTCTTAAGAAAAGCTTGAGTTAAATTTTAAATAAGAGTAATTGGTTTCTGGCAACATATAATTAATTGAATGCAGTTGAGAGATAATACGGTTTTACCTATTTAAACTCGTATTATTAAAAAAAAAATTTGCACTAGTAGAAAATGCAGGCAAGTTTGGATTTATGGTACAGTTCAGAGCGCACGTAGGCAAGCGAACATTCACTCATTTTTCGTAATAATTTTGCATAGAAATTCAAGTTTTTATTTTTATTTTGGTTTTTTGTCAAAATGATTAGTTGTGGTAAATATGTTTAAATATATTATGAAGAAATGATAAACAAATTGTTTGTTTTCATGGAATTGCAAAAAAGCCTGTTTTCTACTGTTTTCTACTGTTTTCTGCTGTTTTCTGCTGTTGTTGCTAGGCGATTTCTCATAGCTGCAATGCATGATTTCATCAGTGACGTCGGTGGTTCTATAAGACTGGTTACACACAAAAAAGTATCTGAAATTCGTGTTGCGCATTTATTTCACAATTAAAACAAAAATTGCGCATGTTTCTATGGATTTTAGGAAAAAACTATTACATTGTGTGAATTAGCTTTTGTTTTTGCTGTGGCATAAGCTCGTGTCAAACTGGAAAAAATTAGTTCTTAATATTGTCTAATCTTCTAAATAAATAAAAAAAGTTTATATCTAACTAAAATTATTTTTACTACGTTGCACTAAAAATTACTCACAATATATGTACATACATATATAATAAATTGTATTATATATAATAAAGTAAAAATAGAAATTGCAATTCAGTAGTCCATAACTTGTCAGCTGTCATAAGTAATGGTACTCTCATTGGTATTCTTCAAATTTCAAAAATGTTTTAGCAACTTACCTTGTTTTGATTTAATTTTGAAAACACAAAAAAAAATAAAATAAAATAAAAAATAAATAAATTATTTAAAGTATGGTTTTACCTAAGTCTTGAGTCGCTTTGCTCAGCTGTATTGCAAGCATTCATATCTCATATTACTCAGTTGGTTGGTTAGTATGTTTGGCTGACGGTCTACTTTGACCGGCTTACATTTGAATTTTTTTCTGCTAATGTTGTGGCATGTTGTATATCACGTTTTCTTCAAACTCGGGGGCTCGTCCATTCTGACTTAACTTTGAATTTATTAACGAAACGAATGACTCAGTTCATTTCATATATTCGTGTTCGTACTGAAATTCCGTTAGTGTAATGTAGCTATAGAAATTTTCGACTTAAATTTTGAAATATACATTCGACAATCATATAAACAAATAGTAAGACAATCGAATCTTTTATGTTTACAACGAGCATGATCAGCACTTTTCACATTGTTTACATAAATGAATAGCACACGAATGCTTGGATTTCTTATAATTTATTTTATGGAAAAAAGCAGAGATACTTTTATAAGTAACTAAGTTTATCGAATAAGAAAAAGTTAGGAGTAGTAGTTGAGTATTTTTTTTTTTTTGAAAGTTTCATAGTTGTAAACTGGAATATCTGTAACTTGATAAGATTTTTATGTATGCCAATCAACCTGATCGTTCTGTGCTTCAATTTATTTTCTACATTCAATTAAAAATGCTAAATATTTGTAAAGTAAATAAATCAAAGTTGAAAAAAGCAGGAACCAGTTTCTTTTATGGGTTTCCATATCTGTTTTTATGTGCAATCGAAACTGCTTCCATAAAATGATACAAGAAAAATATATATACATATATATATATATAAAAAAAAGATTGAATTTTGGCAAACATTTACACTGACCCTTTTCCTCTTGCTCCTGTTGTCTTATCCATCCATATTTACTCCATGTGTTTGTGCTTAAATCATATGGTCCACTGCTTAAAATGGCACAATTTTATTTATTTATATTTATTTTGTGTTTGTATTTCGGTTTTTATTTTTATTTGGATTTTTATTCAATTTAAAGGTTTTTTTTATTTTTATTTATTTTTGGAGATTTTGACAGACACTTTGCTTGCAAATTTGCTTCTTGTACCGCTTTACCTACTCATGTTTGCTGTTTGTTGCCTGTCTGCTTGATTTTATTGTATGCTTTTGTATCTTGCATACGAAAATACATTCTAACAGAGCAGCGGGCAAATCTCAACGCGAGAAACCGAAACTCTACAGCACCTCGTCGAAATTTTGGAAGACCAACAATGAGTTTCGAAATTACATTTCAATGGTAGGCGGCGACGGAATCCGTTGCTGTAATACCAAAGCTTTTATTCTTATTTTTGGTTGGACAATTTACTCCTTTCAGTTCATTGACTCTGTTTATATTGTAAGAGAATTTCGAGTTTGGCACTTTCAGACTGCAACTGGAAATTGCCAAGCAACATCACCACAACAATTCACACACGAAAATAACGTCTCCAGCTAAATTTTTAAAAATATCATTTATGTACAAATTTGAATGTTTGGCGTAAATTATAACAAAAATTGCACTGCATTTCTAAAAATAATATAATAATAAAAAAATATATAAATAATAAAATATTTGACTGATCGCTTGAATTTTGAAATAATTCGCAATTAACAAGTGGAACAAGTGATGGTGGTTCCATACAAAACTATTTAAATGGTTTTATTTATTTATATTAATTTTTTATGTTCTTCACACAGACACAAATATAGCCGGTGAGGTAACGATGTAGATCTTATGACCATTTTGTTTACTTAGTGTGAAAATGTAATTTATTTTTAAAATTAATTAAATGAAATATTTCATTTATTCCTATACTGAAATTGATTTTAGTTATAACAACAACAACAACAATAACACAAAACAAAAAATCACTGAATTAGTTTTACTCAAAGGTTCTTTAAACGTTAAGATCGTTTTCTTATAAATTGTCGATATAATAAAAAATGAATTAAAATATTTTATTAATAAAATGATTAATATAAGTAAAAAATAAGTTCGCTGATAAGTAAATTTAATTCTTATTATTTTAAATTTAATTTTATATATTAAAAATTTCTAAAAATCGCAACACATTGCTAACTCCACGTTATAATATCAAGATTTACGCTTTACGATATATTACCCCTTTACGTTCAATACAACATTTAATACAAGATTAACCAAATCACCACATTATTCTATTGGACTCATATATGATGGTGTTGGAGATTATATCTTTTTTTTTGGTCTTCTCATTTCTATAGAAGTTTAATAAAAATGGACACGATTTATTTGGAATTAATGTCAATAGAGTAGTTTTAAGATGTTACTTTAAGATTTTAAATATTATAACTCCGGAATGTTAGTGAATTAACACCCCCTTTGAAAATTCTCTGTCATTTGCTGTCATTCTCCAGTTTCTTCGCCCAAGCTGTTGCGCTATTTGATCAACATTGTCTATTCAGCGTGAACTCGTACGCCCTCTTTTCCTCTTTTCCTTCTTCCTTCTGGTGCATATTGAAATATTTTTTTTTATTGGACTATCTATGCTCATTCTTTGAATATGTCCAGCCCATTGTAATTACTTCAGTTTTACTCTCTTGTCTATTACTGGTTCTCCTAGCTCTTTTTGACATTTGTCATTCAATCTTAACCGATAGGTACCATCTTCTTCTCTAATTGGACCAAGTATGCGACGTATATTCTTGCGTTCGAAGATATTTAGCTTATTTTCATTAGATTTTTTTATAGTCCATCGTTATATCGTTATGCTTTATTATTTTCTGTAATCTAGTTGGTCATATTGAGTTGACATTGTTGTTCACATATAATAATAATTATTATTATAATATTAATAAGGTGATGTTACAAATAAAATCAGTAATGTTATTAAGACTAACTTTATAGCGCTTAGTGCAATAATATTTCAGTCTGAAATTAAATATATACAAATCGTTCATTTATTACTTTCATTTAATTAATAATGATTTAATTAATAAGGGTAAGGGTGCTATATTGAGTAATTTTCCCAACAAAAAGTATTCTCACATAATCAAGTTATGGTACCTAAAGTCTATTCAATTCAGATGTTTTGAATGGCATTAGTTAATAATTTAATACAAAAAATATTGTATCTTTGAATATATTTTTACAATACAAATTTTCATTAGCTTTTAAGCTTATAACAGAAATTTATTCGATTGTGTAAAAAGAATGAAAATGTTTGTTGTCACTTGAAAAAATTCGATAATAATTTTTACCAAGCTAAAACCAACCGCCTTGAATTTAAAAATATCGCATTTAATTTATTATTAAAAAATATTTCAATAGATTTCAGTTTTCATTTTATTTTATTTTATTTTATTGTGTTTTATTGTGTTTATTATATATATTTTTTTTTCTTCAATTTTAAAAGAATTTATTCACTTTCGTTCAAGAATATCTTTTTAATTCATTGCGTAATCTGCATAATAAATTTCAGCTAAATGCATTTATTGTAAATCTTGGATGTTTGTTGTGTATTTTAGATAATTTCATGGATTTTGTCTTAAATTTGTAGTTCTGTGATTGTATCTATAACGAATGCGTTTTCTCTGCTAGTCAACGATATTCTTTGTTTGCATTTTCTAAAAAAAAATATATTAAATGAAAAATTTTTATATACAATATATATACACATTTATACATTTACACATGATTCCACGTCTGCATGGAGATATATACTATAGAAATAGATTAGCGGTGATCAGATGGTTATATAAATTGTATCTGATGCCAGTTCTTTTGACTGTGACTGCATAAACTGTGTCTGTGATATTTATAATGCGTCACATTTTCAATGTTGCAACATCAGTGTGGTAAAAATATATTTTTGATATCAAATTTTTTTTCTTAATTTATTTCTATAATAAAAAATGTTTAAATCAAATGAATAAAATAAAACAAGTGCTATATTTAGTTTCCGAAGTATTTAGATACAATAAGTCTAATTGATTTGTTGTCATCTAAAATTAATATCAAATTAGGCTTAATTTTTTTATATTTCAAATTTGCCTTTACATCATTTTCAATATTTCGAAGTTATACTTAGTCTGTCCCTAGTCTCCATAGAATTGCATAGAATTATTATTTATTTGTTTTGAGTGCTTATTAGTGTCAGTTTGCGCTTATTGCTGGCGTTGAGATTGCACAATTTTTATCGATTTATATATTTACTTTAGCACATTAGAAACAATATCAATCATTTTAATACAATTACTATGGATTTTGTTGGTAAATGTTAAACCTTTTTTTGTTGTTGTTTTCATGTAACGAACCTACATCTATTTTGTATCTGACAGTTTGCAATCCATTGATTTTCAGTTGAGCGCATAAATCTACCAGCAACATTGATGCCAACCACGCGCTAAATCTAGACTAAATCCAGACAATGAATCCATCATGCTGAGTTGTTCAGCAGGCAAGTATGCTCTTGTATAAGAGGAAATGACATTTATGTAACTAAATGTATACATTATTCATAATATGAAGTGGTCTTGTGTTAGTGAGGATTTTATGAACTGTCGGCAGCAAGTTATAATAACAATGTGAGCTGTTATTTAACAAAAAATTTGCGACGACTTTAAGATTTGCTTGATTATTTCCCAATTTACATACTGAATTGCCAGAGCAGATACAACCTTTAAGAAACACACATGCGCAAATATTGTCGACACTAACTTACAACGCAAAGCGAGTGAATAATTTTGAAATTCCAAATAAATAGCAAGAATGAGGCTCGCACAGATATACTAAATACTAGTAACAGCAGTAAATACATTGCATGTCCTATGACTAACTATGACTACCTAACATATGACTATATTAAACTTGAAATATCAATGTGTTTAATTTGCAGTGTATTGTATAAATCACAATTTGAAATTAAACCAAAAATTGTGCTTCTTCGTCTTCTTGTAGGTATAAGTAGGCATAATGATTGCAAGGCTTTTCCTTTAGCGTCGCATGTACTTATGAAATGCCTCAAATTTATAATTCAGCTTTTATCTCAAAACTTGCATCACTAGTAAGAGGAAGTCAATAAATGTGCCTACCTCATACCCATTTTTCACCGAACACGCTCCTCGTACATACCTACGATATGTGCATAACTTCATACTTGTTATGCTAGTCTCCTCTACATAGCGCAAATATTTCACCTACTTTTCTCTAGTAGATGGTTAGGTTCACTTTTTTATGTGGCAGCACTAAGCGTACGAGTGTATCTACGTCTTCAAATGCCAAAAATTTCACTTCTACTTTCAGTTTGCCGTGTCGGTATCGGTACACGGAACAGAAATGTATTTCCATGTATTTCCATGTATTTCCTTTTATGCCCATCACGCAATGTTTTTAGTTTTATGATGAAATTAACGTCTTGAATGCGCGCGTGTGAAAAAGTTACTGCCAACGTTCTGGCGTTCTGATATATTGTATCTGCAGCGCAGTGTATCTGTAACGCAGTGTAAAGTATAAAGTCACACTGCGAAGGATATAGTAAAAGGAACAAAATTAATATAAAATAAATATAAAATGTTGAAAATTGCTGGAGAAGTGAAAGTAAATCCTTGGAAAATTGTGCGTTGATTTTATTTAACAAATTGAGTAAAGTCGATTTTATGCTGATTTCTAGTTGGAAAAAAAGCCAAATTTAAATTAAGATATAAAAATTATATATTATCTTGCAGTGAAGTACAAAAACAGTATAGACATTTGAAACAATTTACTTCTAAATTTTACAAAATAATTTCTTAAATATTAGTAAAATTCAAAATAAAGAATTTCATCACTACACAAAATTTAATTCCCTTCAAGAAAAATCAATGAGACATCAATACTATATACGTATATATACGAAGTGTTATGGAAAAATAAGAAATAATAATGGATATATATTCTTAAACAACATTCTATGGTATGATAAGAAGTTCATAGTGTGCCTACTTCAGTCATAATTATACTTTATTCAGAATAAGTTAAGATCTAGTTTATTTTAACTTCTAAACCCTTTACCCTGATATCCGAATATATATTAAATGTTATCTGTGTGTGTATAACTATTTATATATGTAATTTATAATAAGAACTCATATTTAATTTTATACTAAATATAAAAAGTTCATATAAAAATGTATATAATTTACATTAATTTGTAGTGTCCTGGTTTATTGCTCTTATTTGTATGCGTGTTTTTAGGCGCTTAAGATTTTACAAAAAAAAAAATTTTTTTTATATTATTTCCGCATAATTCTGATTACATTGTTTATGAAACTTTTTATTAATGGTGTTAAGTATATGCACTTTTCAATTAATGTAGTTCTCTTAAAAATTCCATATTGTTTTTATATGTATTTAACAGAAGTTTTGAACCTTGCCCAAGTTAAGAAATCTGAAGATAGTATTGGCATATAAAGCCTTTAATATATTATATATGTATATATTTTTATTAAATCTGTTATCACCTCTTTAGTTACATAAAAATTTATAAAAATATTTTTTATTTACAAACCTAATCATACAATAATTCACTTGTTAACATGCAGTCGCAGGTGTATATAAATATATATATGGTATATGTGTGGCTTTTTATAGACCTATATGAACTGTTTATATACACTGTAAGTTGTTATCACTATAATAAAATAAACAAAAATAATTTGCTAAAAATATAGATTAAATTTGCAAAAATAAAAAAAAATTAATATAATTAAGTGGCCACTACAATATTTTAACAAGCATTAAGTAAATGTGAAAATATTCAACTGGCTTTTGTCATTTAAATTATATGAATTTTGGTATATATATTTATTGATTTTTTCACATTCTTCAAAAATAAAATGGAATCAAGCTTTTTTTTTTATCAATATACAAACCAAATTTATTAGAAATATAATATAATAGGTTATAATAGGTTAATTAACCAATAGATCGATCCTTCTACTTGCTTTGTTTTTTTTAATGTTTCTTGCCGTTTTTTAGATTTCATTTTATTATTAAAGAAAAATCAAATTAAATGAAGATCAGAGAAGATTACAAAAGATCAAAATTAAATGTATTTAATATAAATGTTTTTTAAGTATGAAAAAAGTTGTAGATTAGTTTTAAATCAAAAATATAACAATATTTAATTAAGTGATATATGAGACTAACTACACAACTATTGCGATCACTACTAAATTCATACCATTACATTAGGTAGTCTAATATATAATATATGATTGTAATATTGATTGGATATTAAACATGTTAGAAGACAGCTGTATGATAAATCCGTAATTGCTGTTAATTCTATGTTGATTTTCAGCATTCCTAATATTCTATTTCGATTTTGATCTTTATTTTTATTTTCATATTTGAATAGATAATCTATAAGATAAATTCATATTTGCTATTTTTAATTAGTTCTAATAACGTAGCGAATATCTTTTTTTCCTGTCATTAAGAATTTCATTAAGAATTAAATAGGAATTAAATAGTATTTTAACTAAATTTTGATTCTATACTTTAATATGATGTATATGTGATATATATATGTATTTCATTAATATTAATTTTTTTGTTGTATTATTATATTAATGTTATTATTTTATTTTATTAATATTACTATTTTATTATTATTTCATTAATATTAATAATTTATTTTTGTAATATTATTATTTTATTTTATTAATATTATTATATTATTTTATTATTATTATTATATTATTTTATATTAATATTATTATATTATCTTATATTTATATTATTATATTATTTTATATTAATATTATTATATTATATTATTAATATTAATAATTTATTTTATTAATATTATTATTTTATTTCATTAATGTATTTTGATTTATTTCACTTACCATAAATTAAAAATAATATTTATTTTAATTTTTGAATATTAGTAAAAATTTATTTATTTACTTATTTCTTCCTTAGTTGCATTTGTTTTTGTTTTAGATTAAATTTGTTTGTTTTTGACAAATATTTTTATTATGCTGCAAACACACAAAAGCAATACAAATCAAATACACAACAACACTAATACGCATTGTTATTCTTTCTGTTATTACTCTTTTGCCTATTTATACTCTTAACATTTCGTTGAAAAGCATGCGCATACTATGTAACGAATATACGAATGTACGATTATTATTTTTTTATTCAACATTGATATTTAAAATACAACAAATTAAGTGAATTATTTAAAGTATTTACTAATAATTGATACACAGTAAGAGCTTGTCAATGTTTGTTTACATGTACTATTGAAACTTATGCCCGCTCTTTGCTGGTCGTTTTAAAATTGATTTGAGTGTGTTTTCTGTTTTCGTTGGGAATTTACTTTGCTGTTTGAGTCTCATTTTATTTATAACAATTCCTTGATTTACTTTCCATTGGTTTGAGTGTTTTTGTGCAAAGTAACGCACTAACAGCACACAATTTGTTTTGGTTTGAAAAGCTGTGTTTGTTTTTATACATGCTCTTTTATTTTTTTGCAAATGAAATGCGCTCTTAAACTTTCTAATATTTCGTTCCTACTGCTGTTGCTGTCGCTGTTACTGTTGTGCTCTAAAGTCTTCACTCATTTCGCGTAGTTGCTTGTTTGTAGGCAGCTGACAGGAAATTTTCTTATAAGCATTGTGGCACTGTTTGTAGAATCGTTGACGACTTTGCTTGTGTCTTGTCTTTACTGCAGCATTCAAAAATTTATTTTAATTAAAAATCGTTTACAAAAGTTTAGACTTTAGTTTCAAAAAATACAACAAAAAAATAAAACAACGGTTCGGTTAATTTCATTTTCTTAAAATTCTCTAAAAATCAACAAGCAATACTACCTCAAAGATAACAAACAAAATTTTGTTGATAAAAGTGCTTTTAACAATTTAACAATTTAAACTAAACTATAAATCTTAAAGCAAATATTATTTGAAAGCAATGCATAAACGAAAAAAAAACGTTTACCGTGCAAAATAAAATAAATTAATTGCATTTTAACGTGATATCCTACTGTATGCGCTTATTAAAATGAATTATAATTAAAAATGTTAAATATCTAAAAATTTAGTGCAAAATATAATTAAAAAAGGTATTAAAAATAGAAATCATAAAAAATAAATTAGAACTGATAATAAAAAGAATAAAAGAATAACAAAAGAAAGAATATTTTGTTAAAAATTATTTTTTAAGTTCATTAAAAATGAAAGCAAAAAATTTCTGTGATTTATTTAAATTTTTATGTGTTTGATAGCATCACAGAGCCGAGCCACCACAGAGGCAAATTTTAATATGTTTAATATTAATAATTTTGTGTTTATAAGTTATATTTTTTTATCTGAAAAATGCGTAGAAACGCAGTTATGTTATGTTTAAAAAATTTTTATTTTAAAATAATTGCAAAGTTTTACACAATCATCCATAACCTAGAAAACAAGAAAAGTGCATTAGTTACATAAATGAACTGACTGCAACTGCATAAAAACAAGCAATAAATTTTATTTAATTCAAAAAAGTTTGCATCAAAGATAAGATGAAGAGTATATTGAAATGTTAAATAATGAAGTAGTTTTTACATTCCAAATAATGATATTTATTATTTTTATAAATTCTACGATAATCACAAAAAACTTCCATTTGCTTTACAATCCACAACTACAAACATAAGTTCAACTACAGAAGCAATTATTTTATGTACTGTATTACACAGTTACTAAATGCGCCCATAAATGCATAAAAAAATCAACGCCTACGA